CATACATACATACACACACAGACACACACACACACTTATATATATATATATGCATAGATACATAGACACATAGACACATACATACATACATACATACACACACACACATACACACACACATACACACATACAGACATACAGACATACGTACGTACATACGCACTTAAGTACATATTGTACATATTCACATACGTACTTACATGCATGCATACATACATACATACATATCTACATATACATACATACGTACGTACATAAGTACATACGTACATACGTACATACATGCATAAACACATACATACTACATACATACATACATACATACATACATACATACGTACATACATACATACATACATACATGCATACACATAACCACAGAGAGATACGCCAATGGCAAGTGCATGTGCGCTGGTGTGGGTATGTTTTTTAAACATGCACTCGCAAACCGAAAATGCATGCATGCATGTTAACTGTTAACATGCGGCAGAGGGCCGCTTGTCTCCGAGATGCAGGTGCCATTGCTCCCTGTCCGTCACAGGACCGACATCCAATCCACTACTCTTCTGAACAAAAGCGCAATGCCCATCTATGTAGATCGTTCAAGTTCCTGTAATGGCCCCTTTTTGCTGCAAACTTGCTGTTGAGGCCCCAAGCAGTGCCGGAGGTGCTGCAGCTGGCGCTGGGGCCTCACGGCGATCTATAATTCAAGGTTGGGTAATCAGAAGCATATTGCTCCTTCAACTCTGATTGTATGTATCCTAACACAATAGGAATCTAGTGCACTATGCCCCAAGGAATCTAGTGCACTATGCCCCAAATTCTAGTCTAAAGGTTCAGGGTTTCGGGTAGGTGTTGAGTATTGCGTTCTTCAGGCCTTCTCAGATCGGTAGGCCTGTGTAGAAATGCGGGTCTGAGACATGCGCTCGGCAGAATGATGCATCCATGATATATCAAGCATGCTCCTTTTCAGACTTCCGGCAAGGCAGCTTGTAGCTTGAAGGTGCTTAGCGCGTTTCTGTTTGGTTTCGGGCATGAAGGCTAGCCGGCTAGCCTACGCAGGTGTGGAGGGGTGTGCTTCTGAAGCTTCAGCTTCTTGCAACCATCCGCTTCTCCCTGGCATCTCAACCTCATAGCCGTAAACGAAGAAAGACATTCCATCGCAAATCTTAGCAGCCTGAAAATGGATTGTTCCTTGCTATACCCAGAAGCCCCATACATACCACGACCCGCATAAATCCCGAAAAAGCCCTCTGTCTCCAAGCCCGCCCCTACACCCATAAATTGTAATTCCATACAGCCCTGAAACCAGAAGCCACACTCCGACTGTCACTGAAGCCTCTCTGAACCCTACACACATAAATCTCTTGTACACCTAAACGTTTTATATTTATAAACCCTAAACGCGCCATGTCGGCTGTTCCTTGCTAGGCGGGAGGCAAAAAAGCCTAAACCCTAAACCAGCTGGGCGGCCGGCAAGAAAGCACCCCATACTATACGCCTAAGCCCTAAACCCTGCCCCTGACAAGAATCGCTAAAGGCTTTGAACCTTTATACCTAAACCCTACACCCCTAAAGCCCTAAAGACCCCAAACACTCAACCCCAAAGCCTCCAAAACTAAAAAACAAAATGCCAAAACTAAGCGAGGTCGACCTTCTCGGCATCTTGGCACATTCGATTCGAAGTTTCGGGTTTACAAGATTGTCTTGAGGCAACGTCCTAAAACCTACTGTGTCGGTGTGTGAGGGGTTTGGGCATTTCGAGATTCAGAGCGCTGCAGATGTGTTTTGGTGAGGGGTTTACACGTTTAGGCCCGTGGAGTCTTATCTCGGGTTTAGGCGAAGCGTTGAGGCCGCAAAGGGGGCTTGGGGTGTGAGCTACAGATTTCAGGTCTGTTGGGCTTCGAGGCTTTGAAAGGTGCTTCGGGTAGATGTTTCAAGATTCCGGGTCGCTCCTGTCGCCGGGATGCTGCGAGGGATGTTGAGGTTGATAAATGTGGGCCTTATATACCGGTCTCTAAAACAGCAGAACATATCTAACAAGCCTAGTCTAATTGTTATGGCCCTTATATTAAGCCCTATAGACGCCACACCCGGTTGAAAGCCTACCTAAACCCGGCAGCTGGCTTCCGCTTGTTCGTTTGCAAGTTCGAGTTGGGTGTCTGGTTTGGGGTTCGGTTTAGGGTTCAGGGATTAAGGTTTGGGGTTCGGGGGTTGGATGGCCATGTTAGCGGTTTAACGTTTAGGAGCCAGGTTTTTTGGCTTAAGCTCAAGCTTTAAAGCAACACAAAAGGCAGTCGGATGTGTATGCGAGGTCTTGTATCGTGACTTGGCAACCGTGTTAGATGTGATGTGAGCGAGGGTGGTGTGCAAAGGCAAGAAAGCACAAAGAAGTCCCCCTGCAGTCTGATCCTCACACTTGAGTGCCACTGAGAACCCCAAGCCCTCAGCTCTCAACCCAAAAGCCTCATATAGGCGCCTGAATCATTAACAAAGTGGTTTTATGGACTATATCATACGATGGTTATAAGAAATAAAAGGAACCCCAAAATAGTCTTGGTAACTCTTCAGACCCCGAGATTAAGAGACTTGGCTCCTGCTCAGGAGTTGATGCTCCGCCTGCGGCCAAGACCGAGAACCTCCTTGACTTCTGAGGAGGCATTTCGGCTGCCTGGGGCCTTGCTGCTCAGGTCGTGTGTTTTTTGCTCAAACAAAAGGGAGGGTGGCTACCCGCAGTCTTCGAACCCTAAGCATTAAGCCCTGAAGCCCCACATTGCTTTTTAGGGCGAAGACCCGTCTGCGCAATGTGTCAAGCCATCATCTGCTCGCCGGACGTGCGATGAAAGTCAGTCTGGACCGTTTCGGAGGCGACGGCGCTGTGCGAAATGTCGTGCATCATCGCCGCCGCGACTTCCCAACCTCTCTTGCATCCAGCGGGAATGAAACTAAAATGGTTCCGATGTTTCCCACCTACCTCCCACTCCGGCTGGAATGCTTCGACAGCGAGCCTTGACAATTCCTCTAAAAGGAATTGGATGCAGTAGGCTCCTGTCTATTAGCTCGAGGCTTATCACCACGCCTCGTGCATGATCGCCGAAACTTCAAGAATTCGTTAGGTAGCATTTTCTAGACAGGAGTGTGCAGGACACAACCCTTTTCTCCTGATGGAAGCTTCATGGGGTGTCGACTTGTAAAAGGTTTTTTTAGAGATTATTGTCGCATCCATAAAGCTCGTAGCCTGAGCTTTGACTCTCCCCTAGACTCTAGACTTAAAGGAAACCCCTACCCGTAAACATACTCAACAGGCAGATGTTCCCCAAATACTTATCGTTACTAGCTTCGTTGACCCACACTACTAGTGTGCTGAGCACAAAAACCCCGCAGGTAGGCGCTTCGAACATCGAAGGTAGCGCAAACTGTTCCGCCCAGGGTAAATGCCGAGAACCTAGAACAACCCGAAGTGCAGCACCGAGCCGACACTGTAGGCAAGACCCCAACTGGAGGATCAAGGAAACAAGCTTAGGAGTAAGGGCTGAGTTGTTTAAGCATCCAAGCCTTCAACCATCAAAACACCAGGCGGTGCCGTACACGCGAGGCGAGCATAGCTACTGCTGCTCCCCAGAGAATTGAGGCTTGAGCACACGCTGTGGGTAGCGGCAAACCCTGTCCGATTTAGGCCTGAAGCCCATGAGCAATATCACGGTATAGTTAGTTGCACTTTACTGGAACCCTAAGCCTGGCTTGTCCGAGTTGTGAGAGCGTAACCCTAAACCCTAAAACCCTAAAGCCCTAAACCTACTACAGATGATCTGATTCCATACCTCCGCAACATCAGCCCAATCTCTGGGGTGTTCTTTTTGAACGCCATTTTTTCTCAAGCCCGGCTCCTTCAATGGACTCCCCCCTGGCGCCAGCTTCTTGCACGGAGTGCGAGACGGTTCAATGCAAGTCAACCTAGGGTTTTGGGTTTAGGATTCAGAGTTTATTAGGTTTAGGGTGTAGAGTTTAGGAGTTTTGGGTTTAGGATTCAGACTTTATGAATTTAGGGTTTAGGGAGTTTAGGGTTAGAGAGCTCAGTATTCAGGGTTACCTAGTGCAGGAACCTGTTTTCCTGAACCCAGAACCCTGATGGTCTTGCGAGCCTTCGTAGTAACCTTAGTAACTATGCACATCTTTTCGGGGATCAAAACAGAGAGGCTTGTCTGTCAGGTGCTCGATGCCCTGATTAGAGGTGATCCCAGCTGCACTTGATCCCGCACTCCATCGACTAGCCTTCCGACAGGCTAGAGCAAGCAACAGCCGAAATAGCCAACCATTCACGCGCAAACCTACCCCCCCCCCTCCCTGCCCAAGCTGTAAGCCCTCACCGTTGATCTTCCTCATGGCCGCCCCGGTTCTCATTGGCTTTCTTCAGGTAAACCGTTTCTTTATGCTGTCAGCCAGGATGCCCTGAAACACCTGCTGATTCAGGGGCGCATTTGAGGCAAAATGGAGTGGTTTTATGCGGTTCAAGTCGAACTGAACCTATGGTGTCGTTCACAGGAACAGACGGATGTCATGTCATCCGTTAAAGGAGCTAGACGACCGGGCTTCGGTATTCTCCAGTGCACGACGTGGCCCATCCTTGTCAACATCCATCCCATCGGAGAACATCCTTCGGTTGAGCTCATATTCCGACGGAGGTCTTCATCTTCCACCATACATATGTATATATGTACGGATATACGTACACATACATCTACACCTACACATGGCTCACTCTCTCTCTCTCTCTCTATATATATACACTGGCATACTCATTTTAACATCCGTGTCCATACCGAGATTCGTATTCACGTAAGTAAGTAAGTAAGTAAGTA